TTCCTAGCGTGGTTACGCAGCCTGATGTCGACAGCCAGCAAAAATCTGCTGGCCGGCCAGAGCCGATACAAACGCGATTTTGACAAGCGGATACGGAACTTCCTAACTCTCAAAATTTGCATCAATATTTTGCAATTTTATACAGCAATGACGGTGTCGTACGACACCCCCTGCCGGCCTGTGATCAGTGGCCACTGATCATAAATTCCCACTGATCACAGGACGCAACCCACTTCACAACCACCTTTTTCAACGTCCACCTCTCATAGAAAAACAAGTAGTTATAAGTGCCGACAATTCGTGTCCGACCCAGTCACTGAAAAAGCGTCGCTTTCGTACGACAACAACGCACCGTCACGAATACTGCAGAGAAAATGGGATTACAATATAGAGTATAGGGAAGGAAACCCCAAAAATCTTTTTAAAGACACTTGTTTACATAAAGAGATAGAGGGAAGAGGAGATGCAGCCAGAGAGGCGGAGAGAGAGGGATAGAGAGAGAGAGGGATACAAGGAAGAGAGATGGACACAAATATAGAGAGATGGACACACACATAGATAGATGGTCACATACATAAAGAATTGAATAAACACATAGACAGATGGGTATAAACATAGAGAGAGACAGAGACAGAGACAGAGACAGAGACAGAGACAGACAGAGAGATATATAGGGAGAGACAGAGAGGTTTATCCAACTATTTGTGCAATCGGTGGTATGCACTCCATTTATTGTCCAGCTAGGCATTATGGAATTCTAAAGGAAGTGATGGTTGCTTAGTCAATATCTTGCCACCGTTAATTTTCTCAAACAATGAGACCAATGGCAGTAGGATGACTAATTCTACTTTAGGGGTCCTTGTCTACTTTACGAGCGGTCCTGGCCGAGTAAGGTGATGTATTATCGGCTCAGGTGCACCTTGTGAATAAACAAACACTTTCATATGTGATCTTCGTGATTCCCTCACACAACTCACACGAAGCCATCACAAAATGCACACTGCCATCACAAAATGCACATTGTCAGTGTGAGAGTTTTGATTTCGAGGTTGACGTTTCAGAGTTTTGAGATGCGTCTCACAAAACCATCACAAAAGATTCACGAAAATGTGTGATGTTTGAGACGATTTTTGTGATGATCACAAAGCGTTCTCAAAAAGTGCTACAATTCAACAAATATTCACAAACCATGTGTGACGAATAAGATGATGGAGTGAGACGAATGAGATGACGGCGGCGAAAAGAGCAAAACTCTCACAAATCGTGACACAAATCGTCTCACTTTTTGTGACGCCCTAAATCGTCACAAACCGGAGCACAGGGATTTAGTGCCATCCCCCCAATAGTGCCATAGCTAGAGGTATGTCACGCTATAGCACTATATCGTAGGAGGCACTGTATACGATTTCGTATCATAATCGGCCAGTCATCATCCACCAGCTTGTCGCCGCGTGTAAAACATTGCGTTTTGGTCACCACGTGTAATACATTGCATTTTGGTTGCCACGTGTAAAACATTGCATATCGATCCACACGTGTAATACATTGCATTTGGGTCCACACGTGTGATGTGTTTGTCGCGCGACAAGATCTACAAAAGCTGTATGGGTGGCCACCCATACTAGAATCAACCTCTAAAAAAGTAACAAAAATTAATCTAGTTCCAGTATGGCTGGCCAGCCATACAGCTTTTGTAAATCTTGTCGTGCGACAGCCATTACATATTACAGGGGGGTCGCTCAATAGTGCCTACTTTAGTAGTGCTTCCCTCTATATAGTGCTATGGTTCACCCTCTGGCACAGGTTATCATACGCTCACGTGTATCATCCGGCATGGTTCAGTACTCAAAGGATGAAGTTATTTAGTTGTGTTATACAGGCTTTGTTGTGTTTGTGTTAGCAGTGTGCTTTGTCCCCAAATATATGTATTTGAGCCTCTTTTGTATAGTGCCATCCCCCCAATAGTGCCATAGCTAGAGGTGCTTGTCATTCTTGACATTGTGAGCGCGAAAGACGCGAGGAAAGTATATTGAGGGGTGCTGTTGCGGCAATTCTGCCGCGGGGCACCGAGCGACCTGTAATGACGGGAATCCACCCGTATTATTTTACTCCTCACAAGTCTGCTGCCTCCCCCTTCCTATCTTCGGGGATGGCTTCTTAAGTACACGTTCCCCGGGATGAGTCAGCTATCCCCAACCCTCCCTCCCGTAATTTCCCCTTCGATCCAGCTTCCCCTTGCCCCACCGGTAGCCACCTCCTCGTGCCATTTTCCCTTCGCGCCCTCGGCCGGCGACCTGCGCGGTCTTTCTGCCCCAGCCCGAGCCCCGTGCGGCCTATGGTTTCCCTTCGTCTCCCCGGTTTCTACTCTAGAAATTGGAAAATGGCCCGTAACGAAAACGAAATTCATTTGAATGGGGCCATGATTCTGAAACGGAAAGTGTTTTGGGATGTAGGAGGATATGATGAAAGAATACAAACGTATGGATGGGATGACGAGGATCTCTACACACGGTTGGCTGCATGCAACGTTCAAAAGTTAAACGTCAGCTACGATCACGTTAACCACATCTCTCACGATGATGGTAAACGAGCACAGAAAGGAGTCAAATTTGCACAAGTGCAAATTGACCTGAACCAACTTCTACTTGAAAGATTGCCGCCCTGGTCGAAGAATGACTCGGAAGGACATGGCTCATCTCAGTACCAGGTTGTAGATCGTGATGGAAAAGGCTACTTCGAGCTAGAAGCTGAACACGTTCCGAAATCTTTAAGAAGACAACTTGACAACGACTTGTATGAAGAGTCATGGGCTCTAGCTCTGGGTAGGCGGCTCGCTGACGACTTTCATGTTCCCTGGGATATTTTGGAGTCAACAGACTCAGAAAACAAGGAGCTTTTGTTACGTAAGCTTTTGCATCTCCAAAGTGACTTAGATTTTCAAAGGAGCTCGGTGAAGGCCGCAGATAATGGGACAGAGGATATCTCGAGATTGCCAGCAGAGGCGAGGATACTTTTCATTCATTGCATGTATGGCCTGGGAAATCGATTGCAAGCTCTGGGGAGTGCCCTGGCATTCGCAAGGACCAGTAATCGTATTCCTGTCGTGGTATGGGAATCTGACGCCCATATTGCAGCTGACTTCAACGCTCTCTTCAACACATCAGACATGGTGGTTCTGAAAAAGTTTATACCTACCTGGCCGCTTCATGATCATCACAAGTACGACCACTCTTGGAATCACTTCCTCTTTTACAACTACATGGAGATGGAACCAAAGGCAGTCAAAGGGGAACTCATTGTCAACGAAAAGAGCAAGCATATATATTACAAAGGAGCCTACATTCTGGAGGCGCCGGAATATACATGGTGGGATGCTGATAATGAGGAATTGAGAAAATTGCAACCAGTACAAAAGGTTACAGAGCGGTTGAAAGAACTCAAAGATGAGGGCCTCTCATCAGCAATTGGCGTTCATATTCGAAGCAGGACACTCACCTTTGATATCAAAAATGTCGATTTCAACCAAGAGTACGGGTCAGATGCGGCTACGACAATGGAACACTGGCGCTCGCAGAGTTCCTACAGAAATTTTGTTTCGGAAATGAAGCGCATTATTCGGGAAGAGGACAAAGATAGTCAGTTTTATATCGCAACAGACACATGGGAAGTAATTCCGCGGATGGAAGCACTCTTTCCGGGAAGAATTCTAAGCACAAATCGAACATGTGACGATAGGGATTCCGAGTGCGTGAAATACGCAGTAATCGACATGTATGCTTTAAGTAGTACACGGAAGTTGCTCGGCTCAAATTGGAGCAGCTACACGGAGATGGCGGAGCGTCTAGGGGGTCTGAAAGCGAAGTTAGCAGGACTAGATTTCGGGGAAGGAGCAGGGAAGCTATTGAATGGTGAGGCAAGTGAGCACGAAGAGGTTGAAAAATCTGAGGAAGAGGTTTCTGCAGAACTACAGGATAGGCAATTTGACACAGGCAGGGAGTGAATAGGTACGGTATGGAAAGGACACAAGAGTGGTGATGACGGTCAATACTATTGAATGGCTTTTTATTCCAAATACGGTTGCGTGCACTATTGCTAAGATACTGAATGATCACTTGCCTATTTCGCTATCAGCGATTGCAGTGCGCAGTGGAATTTTGATAGAATACAAACTATATTGAAGTGTGCTTCCCAAAAGAACTGATATTGCCTTGGGTAGACTGCTTGAGACACACAGCAATCTCACAAAACTGGGCTTCGTCTCGTTGAAAAATTACGGAAGATGGTTGGTGTTGCATTGAAATTGAATTTTTTCATTCTTTTGAGATTGACCGGTGTTTTGAGTAATCCCACGACCTCAAATTGACCAAGCAAAGTCCCAGGGCACACATCAGTGCAGATTGCAGCACAAGCAGTTGAGGACACCAAGTACAGCTTTTCGGCTCCAGCTTCAAGTACGTCTTGCCGCCACAATTTTCGATTTCCTGCTTTAGGACGTGCACAGCAGTCAGACAACAGTCATAGAGGCTTCGTGAGACTGGAGTCTTGAAGCATTCAAGCGTCACCCTAGAAAGGCTGCACTCGAGAATACATTTTGCTTGCTTTGCATCATTCTCACCTCCAATCAATCGTTTCGGGAATAGGCCAGGCTGGTCGCATTAGAAGAATTCCCTCCGTGTGTAATCATGGCTTCTCAGAAGACAGCGTTTGAAGTCTCGAGCGCATTGGCGAGACCCATGAATTCACGCATTTCTGTGCAACTCCAAGAGAGCCCGTGCCAAGCACTTCAGAGTCGCAGGACACAGAAGGTCGCAAGGCAGAATATCGATGCAAATGGAAGTGGACAAAAGCAGTAAGCAAGGAGATAACTCCAAACCCCGGCAGACTCATATTTCCCCGGAATTGGCAAATCAAGCCATTAATGATGCTATTACATACTCAGGTGGGGACGTTGTGGTTATGGCTAGAACCTGTGCAAGTAGATTTTGTGATGCATTACAACAATGCTATGGTTCAGAAGAAATATCAGATGTGTTTATTGCTTGCGGCTCAGGTTTAAACGGCTTAATTGGATTGCAAGCCGCTGTAATTCGTTTATCAAACCCGAAGTGCTAGTGTCTTTAGGAGCACCAAAGCTTGGATCAAAGGTGTTTGCCGGGGGCTACCACTTTATAGCTGGTCGACATCTTCCTCAAAGCTACTTTTTGGAAAAGGGAATCTCTGTTCCGGCTTTTCCCGGCGAGGAGTCAAACTGCGTGCTCATGTCAAGTAACCCGTTTCGCTTCGAAGGTGCTAATGGAGAGACATATGGGCGACCTGGACAATTCAATGCCACGCTCTACACGAAAAACCCTACCCGAGAATGGGTCGATATTGACAAGCACGATGACCTGTGGGACGAACTAGACTAGCATTAGAGTGTGCTCAGTGAGTTTAAGAGTGGAAATCATTGTCAAGTGCTATACAGGGACTCTGGCTGCGAAAAAACGCTATCTACTGGCCAACTTTTTTGCTTAGCGCGACGCGCCACATAATGTAATTCGACGTGGCCTGCATCAGCGCGGATGCTGTGACTTTTCCTGTTTGTCGCCATACGAACCCACACGCAACACCGGTGACACAGGCGGAGGCCATGTATCGAACGTTTGGCGGGTCATATCCAAGTTTTGATTTCCCTAAGTGTGCAATGCCGAAGGCACCAGACGCGATGAGTAGTGCAGATATGGACCCGTGGCCTAGGCGTTGCTCCAACATATTCTGAATCATACCCCTAAATATAAGCTCCTCGGTAACGCCGTTCATGAATATGCCTAGGAAAGTGGCGGCTTCTTTGGCCGCGTCTAAACGAGGTGGCGTCTTGACGTCAGCAAACCGGGTTAGGGCGGCAAGTGGAACGGTGATGAGATCAGAGGCAGCACCCACGGCTAGCGCTATCAGCACATCGACTGGGGTTACCTTGAAAGTGTAGCCCAAGTCACGAGCGTGGGCCAGCTTTGAAAAGGGCGTAGAATTGTGAAGCAGTTCACGACTGTCAAAGCTGCGGTGAACAAGCCCCAGGCTGTAACCTTTCCAGTCGGTGATATGTCCGATGACAACAGCTTAAATTCCAGTGGAAGCCAGATGCAAAGAACGGTAATCAGGTCGGCCATTTCGGAGCGAAGCGATGGGTGGTCGTCTGGCTTTGTGAGCTGAAGCAGTGACGGGATGAGGATATACGCTATGTAAATTGCCAATATAGGGACTGCGCGACGGCGACCGTCCATGATGTTGGGTGCACCGGCGAGGCACACTGGAACCATAACTAATAGCACCGTCCAAGCTGCTTGCCATCTATGTCCAAATTCGTTGACAAATGTCGAAGAAGAGTAAGCCAGGAATAAAAGAGTCCAGCACATCGAGGCTGAGGACTCCAAAGTATGGGCTCGGCCGCCTGGTTCTGGCATTTTTGGAAAGCCGCGGTCAGTCATTGGCTCCATGCTGAAGGATGGAACGAAGATTCTACCCGAACAGCGAGGTAGAACACGGTTGAAGCTGTTTCAATTGTCTCTGCGGTAGCCGGAAAACGCTCTTGTAGAAAGCAGGGTTGCCTTGAGCACTTTGTCGTTGCTCGCTGCGATTTTTGCGTTTCTAAAAGGTTTACTAGGAAGGTACTCTTGCTGGGCCTTGCACGTGTTCGTGTGTGTGAACATCCGTACACGTTGCAAACTTACAGTGTATACAGGCGAAGTAGGGGGGGTTTCTCTGGGCAGAACGGACCGTTTGCAGGGGGGGTCGCTCAATAGTGCCTACTTTAGTAGTGCTTCCCTCTATATAGTGCTATGGCTCGCCCTCTGGCACAGGTTATCATAAGCTCACACGTGTATCATCCGGCATGGTTCAGTACGCAGTATACGATTCCCTATCATAATCGGCCAATCATCATCCACCAGCTTGTCGCCACGTGTAAAACATTGCGTTTTGGTCACCACGTGTAATACATTGCATTGTGGTCGCCACGTGTAAAACATTGCATATCGATCCACCCGTGTAATACATTGCATTTGGGTCCACACGTGTGATGTGTTTGTCGCGCGACAAGATCTACAACAGCTGTATGGGTGGCCACCCATACTAGAATCAACCTCTAAAACATTAACAAAAATTAATCTAGTTCCAGTATGGCTGGCCAGCCATACAGCTTTTGTAAATCTTGTCGCGCGACAGCCATTACATCTCATACCAAAGAAACTTGCCTGCGCATGCAGGCCTGCGCGGTATACCCTTCCCAAAAAGCATTATTTGGTAAAAAAGGCCAATTTGGTGATTCAGTTCTCGTTGCTGCCAGTGCGGACAATGGGTACAGTCGTTCATCCCTAGACTCCAGAGAAACGCTCCGGGCCTAAGCGATCACCCCGTCTACAGTTTCCCGCAATGTTACCTCCGCGCCTCTCCCCGTCCGGCCAAAAAAGAAAATAGCGGGCACACAACACCGTTAAAGGCCAAACAGTAGTATTTGATCCACGATCAAACACTTTCTCGTCATGTTCACGAGACAGGCCTCCAGTTTCCCGAAATGTTACCTCCTCGCTTCTCCCCGTCCGGCCAAAAAATGGCGGTCACACAGCACAGTTAAAGGCCAAACAGTAGTAATTGATCCACGATCAAACACCCTCTCGTCCTGCTCCCGGGATTGGCCTCCAGTTACGCACAATTCACGCCCCCTCCGATGTTGATTGGAATGCGTCGTCAGGCAGTGCGCGCCAAGCAAGGGACAGACGGGACGCAAGGGCCAAAGACAAACGGCAGACAGCTGTAAATTTATTGAAGATGGGAAAAAAGGTTGCGGATGTGGTTCGCCTCGCAGTCATCAGTCATGGGACAGCAGACCGATTACAAAAATGTCTCAAGACCAAGGACGACGACAAACTGTCCCGACTTCTTGACCCAGCCAACAACCTTCCCGGAGCTCCCCGTGTCATCAAAGCGGACGAGGACAAAATCATTAAACAGCGCATTAAATATACTGCCTCCCGGGGATTTGCAATTAACAATTATACATTGCGAGCTATCATGGCTGGCATTGCCAGTGATGGTCGACGCAGTTTTCAGACAAAGGACAACATGCTCTCCCCGGACGCTTTTCGTACCTGGAGAACCCGAAACAGGAATATCACGTTTCCAACAGCCGATCCCACGAATCTCCTAATCCTAGTTACTCCCGCACTCCTCTAAATCTCCGAAGCACAGCGAATCCCTAAAGTACAAAAACCATCCTACTCCTTACTCCTGAATCCCCTGCCGGCCTGTGATCAGTGGCCACTGATCAGTGGCCACTGATCACAGCTCCCCACTGATCACCGGTCCTAACTCTCAAAATTTGCACCAAAATTTTGCAAATTTTATACAGCAATGACGATGTCGGACGACACCCCCTGCCGGCCTGTGATCAGTAGCCACTGATCACAGCTCCCATCCTGCAAAATTTGCCACCAAATTTTGCAAATTTTATACAGCAATGACGGTGCACCGGTTGACAAGGAGAGTGAGTGTATGGTGAGGGAAACGAAAAAGTTAAGGATCAGACTGGCTGCGGGAACTAGAGAGGTGTAGGGACACGGACTTCGAAAGGCGGGGATACCTAACGTGCCCCCTTGCAACAAGCCCACAAAGGTAGCAGACCTGAATTTTTTTTGCGATAACGATACAGTTTATATGTCGCAACTACGGATATAGAGGCCGGCGCAGAGCTTATAGTCAGTGCATAAAAGTATTCAGAGCTGTGTGGTAGTACTAAAAACTGTTGAATAAAGACCAGAGTTCTTGTTTCGTACATATACTTATGCCTGACGTGGCGGATACCCTTCCTTTCGCCCCCACACTTGATAAATTCCACCGTCTGGGAGACTCCTGTGTTGTACTGCTGAGTTTGATGTGCATATGAGACACATATGGTCGTCGCTTTCGGCGCTGTCCTGCTCGCAGTAGTGCATAACTAATGCCTTTCGAACGTAGCTTCCAAGCTCAACCAGCACTCTTCTTTCGTTTCGTTGTTGTATCAACACCCCGTATCCATCTTTTTCGGCTTCGCACTCCTTCACTGCGCAATATCGTGTTGTTTCTTGACTTTCTTTCACACGAGCGTCCAGAATCCGGACTTGAACTACGGCTAGCACCATCCAGAACCTTCTGTCTTCATCATGCTCAGAATCATTGTTCTCATGAAGAGTGCATGTAAGATCAAGATCTGCGGTCGAAACTACAGAAGAATGCAAGGCTTGAATCACGCTCCCATAAGATATAGTGGCCAAAACAGATGTCTGGTCTCTCTTTCATCCGTCTGTTATTTTGCACCACTTCGCAGTTCCATATATCTGTACGGTTACGGAATTTCCATGGTCCGCCCGGCCACTTCTAAGACGTAGCTTTTGTTTCCATACATGCTCTAAAAACTCCCTTGCTTTCAACAGAAATGCAAGGTCAGTTGATTGGAACATTTCCGAATGTTGACCTCCGTCTGCAGTGTTTCCGAGGTTCATAATTACTGAATTGTCTACGCGCCAGTCCTTCCTACTAAGAGACGACGATAAGAGTCCTTTCCGATGTAATCGAAGGTTCTGCAGAACAGGAGTTGGGAAGCAGTCCTGAAGCTTTTGTAGAAATCTTCCCGCATCCTGAAGCCCAGAACTGTCGTAGCCCAAGAGATTTAAAACAGACTTCGCTGTCTCAAAGCTCCAGCCGTTCTCACTAGTGTCAATGCCTTCAGTTTCAATTGCCAGACCAGTCTTCCAGTCGTTGGCAAGACGATGTTCCATAGCCTGTAATTGTGAGTTTTTCATATTGGATTGAGCCATCCCCCTCTTCAATGGCTGATGAGCGCTTTCAAACAACAACTCTTGTACATGTCTTACACTACCGAACAGTGGCAATGTATGTGTGAAGAACTCCAACAGTCTGTGAAGGTTTGGTTTGTCCAAATGAGTGGAGGCAAAGCTGTTTGTGCCACACAGCTTATCTACTCGAGATAGGTAACGAAGTGCCATATTACGAATCTCCAGAAGTCTCTTGGTTCCTCCTTCTTCATTGTGTGTGTCTAATGACCTCTTACCATCTATCCTTGAGTCCGGAAAGTACTGCGTTCTGCTCACGAGAGAGGAAAACAGGTCGAGGAGGTCGAGAGCTTCATCGATAGTAGCACAGTTTCCGCTCTCTCTCTCGCCTGTGATTTTGTTCACGTACCAAGCACTCTTCATCGCCCGTAGTGCTACTAAGAGCAGGCAGTACATAGACGATATTGTCATTGAATGTAGCACATGCTTGTCATGGTTGATTAGGCTCTCCTGATATATGAGATAGCCATCCTTCAAAGCCATCTTGGCAATTGCCTCGGCATCTTTGCGTACATCTTTTAGTAGCAGTGTTATACAGAGATTCA